TGGATGATTTTTCGGGAATTTTGGGATGATTTTGGGGAATTTTGGGGGATTTGGACGATTTTTAGGGAATTTTGGAGGATTTTGGGGGATTTTGGTGATTTTTAGGGAATTTTGGGGGATTTGGGCAATTTTTAGGGAACTTTAGAGTGATTTTGGGGGATTTGGGTGATTTGGGTGATTTTCATGGAATTTTGGGGGATTTGGGAGAATTTCAGGGAATTTTGGGGTGATTTTGGGGGATTTGGGTGATTTTGGTGATTTTTAGGGAATTTTGGGGGATTTTGGGGTATTTTGGCGATTTTGGGGGATTTCCGGTGTTTTTGGTGCTTTCCAGGCGATTTTTTGGTGATTTTTGGGGCCCTTTACGGGGGTGGGAGGGGCTTAAATGGGCGTGGCCTCGCTGAGATGGGAGGGGTTTAAAGGGGTGGTGGGCGGGGCTTAAACCAACAGGTGGGCGGGGTTTAAAGGGACATTGCAGGGTGGGCGGAGCCTAAATGCGCAGAGCATTGTGGGAGTGGCTTTGCAGACTGATGGGCGGGGCTTAAAGCAGCAGGTGGGCGGGGTTTAAAGGGGCGTGGTGCTGTGGGCGTGGCTTAAACTGACACGCCCAGCGGATTTAAAGGGGCACCACACCGTAGGTAGAGCATTGTGGGTGTGTCTTAGCAGACTGATGGGCGGGGCTTAAAGCAGCAGGTGGGCGGTGTTTAAAGGGGCGTGGTGCTGTGGGCGTGGCTTAAATTGACACGCCCAGCGGATTTAAAGGGGCACCACACCGTGGGTGGAGCATTGTGGGCGTGGCTTTGCAGACTGATGGGCGGGGCTTAAAGCAGCAGGTGGGCGGGGTTTAAAGGGGCGTGGTGCTGTGGGCGTGGCTTAAACTGACACGCCCAGCGGATTTAAAGGGGCACCACACCGTGGGTGGAGCATTGTGGGCATGGCTTTGCAGACTGATGGGCGGGGCTTAAAACACCATGTGGGCGGGGTTTAACAGGGCGTGGCATTGTGGGCGGGGCTTAAATTGACACATCCAGCGGATTTAAAGGGGCACCACACCATGGATGGAGCATTGTGGGCGTGGCTTTGCAGACTGATGGGCGGGGCTTAAAGCAGCAGGTGGGCGGGGTTTAGGGGGCGTGGCGCGGTGGGCGGGCCCTCACCGGCGTAGCGCCGGGTGAGGCCGAGCTCCCGCAGCAGCTGCAGGTCCCGGGGCACCGTCTCCAGCACGGGGTCGATGATGACGGCGTCGCCGGTGGCGGCGTCCGCCAGCAGGTAGGTGTAGGTGCAGGAGGAGGCCTCGAAGAGCTGCGGAAACGGCCGGAAAACGCCCCAAAAACGGGCTCAGAAAGGGATTTCCCCCGGGCGCTGCCGTCCCCTCCCCCACCTGGCGCAGCAGCAGCTGCCGCCCCTCCCCCCGCGGCGCTGTCGCGAGGCCGCGCGCTGTCGCGACAGAGGCGGCGACAGCGCGGAGCCGGCCGAGCAACATGGCGGCGGTGGGGCCCGCAGCGACGGCGCGGCCGCTTTAAGAGGAAAGGGGCGGGGCTTAAAGGGCCTTAAAAGGGAGCCGGGCGCAAAAGAGAGGCGGGGCCGCGCTTAAAGCGGCGATGGCGGCAAAGGGGGAGGTGGGGCCCGCCTTAAAGGGGCAATGGTTTGCGTTGGCGTTTTAATTGCGAATTAATTAATGATTTTATGGGTTTATGACGTAATTATTGGGTTTATTTTATGTTGGTTGAATGTTTATTAAGATAATCAGGTTTAGTGCGTATTTATTATGTTTTCTTTATTTTTTTAATACTTGCATTGATTAATTAAATATTTTAAAGTATCTAATTATTAAAATGATATGCTAATTGCAAATTCGTTCTAAAATTCTTTATGCTTTTAATAATATATTTATTTATAACAAATTGGTTTTAATCAATATTTTTATTTCTTGAAATATCTAAATTTTTACGTTTTATACACAAATATTTTTATTTATTAACTCGTATTTTAATTATATCTTTGCATTACATTTAAATTAGTTGTGTATTTATTATTTCCATATATTTACATAAACTCTTGTGCTTATTTATTTATCATGTATTTTTTATTCGCTGTACATTTATTTTATCTTACACATTTATAATTTATTTTTTATATCCCTATAAATTAATTCTGAGTTTATAAAAGTATTTAATAAATGTATTTTAATAAATGTTTTCCATAAAATTAATTGTACTAAAAATTTCATAAATATTCATTTTAATTAAGTTTTTAGTTTATTTTTTAGTTTATTTCTTTTATATTTATACTATTTTTATAAATATTTAAAAATTTCATATTTAAATATTATTTTTATTGAGCTTTTAGTTTATTTCATGTATTTCAATATTTTTATAAATAACCCTATTTAAATATTAAAGTTCTCAAGTTAATTACCAATTTTTATTAAATTTTTAGTTTATTGTTTAGTTTATTTTATGCATATTTATATTGTTTTTATAAATAACCTAAATATTATAAAAGTCTATAATTTAATATTAATTTTTACTGAGTTTTTATTTTATTTCATGCACATTTTTATTATTTTATCTATTTCAAATATATTTAAATATTTAAAATATTTCAATATTTTCATCGGGCTTTTACTTTTATCTTTACTATTTTAAATAAATTAATTAAATATTTAATAATAAAATAATAATAAATAAAATAAAATTTAAAAATTAATTTAAAAAAATAAAAGGAGCCGTTGCCCCTTTAAGGAGGCCCCGCCCACCTCCTAAAAGCCCCGCCCACTCCGCCCCAAACCTCATTAATTATTCATCCATTTCTACCCAAATTCTCTTTATTAGCGCTAAGCAAAAGGGGCGTGGTTTACTGGAGGGGGCGTGTCCGCGACGGTGACGTCACTGCGGCGCCGATGACGTCATCGCTGACGTCACCAGGAAGGGCTGGGCCGGCAGGGGGCGCTGCCGCTCCCCGCAGAGCAGCAGCCAATGGGGACGCACGAAGAGCAGCGAGGGGCGGAGCTCCAGCGCCTGAGGGGGGAGGCGGAGCTTGGGATTAAAAAGGGGGCGGGGCTTGGTGGCAGCCAGCTAAGCCACGCCCCCTTTCGGTTTTTAGGCCACACCTCCTCGAAGGCGGGGTCCCAGTCCTGTGATGTCACCACGTGCGTCACCGATTCGTCCATGTAGGGAGCCAGGGAGCTGCGGGACCAGTACGGACCAGTATAAACCAGTATGGACCAGTAATCTTTGCATTATATTTAAATTAGTTATGTATTTATTATTTCCATATATTTACATAAACTCTTGTGCTTATTTATTTAATTATCATGTATTTTTTATTCGCTGTACATTTATTTTATCTTACACATTTATAATTTATTTTTTATATCCCTATAAATTAATTCTGAGTTTATAAAAGCATTTAACAAATGTATTTTAATAAATGTTTTCCATAAAATTAATTGTACTAAAAATTTCATAAATATTCATTTTAATTAAGTTTTTAGTTTATTTTTTAGTTTATTTCTTTTATATTTATACTATTTTTATGAATAATACAAATATTTAAAAATTTCGTATTTAAATATTATTTTTATTGAGCTTTTAGTTTATTTCATGTATTTCAATATTTTTATAAATAACCCTATTTAAATATTAAAGTTCTCAAGTTAATTACCAATTTTTATTAAATTTTTAGTTTATTGTTTAGTTTATTTTATGCATATTTATATTGTTTTTATAAATAACCTAAATATTATAAAAGTCTATAATTTAATATTAATTTTTACTGAGTTTTTATTTTATAATATTTTAATATTTTCATCGGGTTTTCACTTTTATCATTACTATTTTAAATAGATTAATTAAATATTTAATAATAAAATAATAATAAATAAAATAAAATTTAAAAATTAATTTAAAAAAATAAAAGGAGCCGTTGCCCCTTTAAGGAGGCCCCGCCCACCTCCTAAAAGCCCCGCCCACTCCGCCCCAAACCTCATTAATTATTCATCCATTTCTACCCAAATTCTCTTTATTAGCGCTAAGCAAAAGGGGCGTGGTTTACTGGAGGGGGCGTGTCCGCGACGGTGACGTCACTGCGGCGCCGATGACGTCATCGCTGACGTCACCAGGAAGGGCTGGGCCGGCAGGGGGCGCTGCCGCTCCCCGCAGAGCAGCAGCCAATGGGGACGCACGAAGAGCAGCGAGGGGCGGAGCTCCAGCGCCTGAGGGGGGAGGCGGAGCTTGGGGTTAAAAAGGGGGCGGGGCTTGGTGGCAGCCAGCTAAGCCACGCCCCCTTTCGGTTTTTAGGCCACACCTCCTCGAAGGCGGGGTCCCAGTCCTGTGATGTCACCACGTGCGTCACCGATTCGTCCATGTAGGGAGCCAGGGAGCTGCGGGAGCGGCACGGACCAGTATAAACCAGTATGGACCAGTATGGACCAGTATCGCCCACTTCGGGGGACACGCCCAACTCAGGGGACACGCCCACCTCGGGGGACACGCCCAGCTCAGGGACACGCCCAGCTCAGGGGGCACGCCCACTTCAGGGGACACGTCCACTTCAGGGGACACGCCCACTTCAGGGGCACGCCCACCTCAGGGGACACGCCCACTTCATGGGACACGCCCACTTCATGGGACACGCCAACCTCAGGGACACGCCCACTTCGGGGGACACGCCCACTTCATGGGACATGCCCACCTCAGGAGGCACGCCCACTTCAGGGGACACGCCCACTTTGGGGGGCACACCAACTTCAGGGGACACGCCCACCTCGGGGGACACGCCCACTTTGAGGGCACGCCCACTTCAAGGGGAAAATGCCCACCTCAGTGGACACGCCCACCTCGGGGGACACACCCACTTCGGGGACACGCCCACCTCAGGGGGCACGCCCACTTCGAGGGGCACACGCACTTCGGGGACACACCCACTTCAGGGGACACGCCCACTTCAGGGTCACACCCACCTTAGGGGACACGCCCACCTCAGGGGACATGCCCACTTCATGGGACATGCCAACCACAGGGACACGCCCACGTCAGGGGACACGCCCATCTCAAGGGGCATGCCCACTTCAGGGGACACGCCCACCTCGGGGGACATGCCCACCTCAGGGGCACACCCACCTAAGGGGACACGCCCACTTCAGGGGACACGCCCACCCCAGTGGACACACCCAACTCAGGGGACACACCCACTTCAGGGGACACACCCACTTCAGAGGGACACGCCCACTTCAGGGGGACACGCCCACCTCAGGGGAAACGCCCACCTCAGGGACACGCCCACTTCGAGGGACACACCCACCTCAGTGGACACGCCCACTTCATGGGACATGCCCACTTCAGGGGACACGCCCACTTCGGGGGACACACCCACCTCAGGGGAAACGCCCACTTCAGGGACACACCCACCTCAGGGGAAACGCCCACTTCAGGGACACACCCACTTCAGGGGCATGCCCACTTCGGGGGACACGCCCACTTTGTGGGCACACCCACTTCAAGGGGGAAACGCCCACCTCAGGAGGCATGCCCACTTTGGGGACACACCCACCTCAGCGGACACGCCCACTTCAGGGACACACCCACCTCAGTGGACACGCCCACTTCAGGGGACACGCCCACCCCAGTGGACACACCCAACTCAGGGGACACACCCACTCCAGGGGACACGCCCACTCCAAGGGACACGCTCACCTCAGGAGGCACGCCCACCTCAGGGGAAACGCCCACATCAGGGGACACGCCCACCTTGGGGGGCACACCCACCTCAGAGGACACGCCCACTACAGGGGGACACGCCCACATGATGTGCAGCCACACCCACTTAAGGTATGGCCACACCCACTCATGTATGACCCCACCCCTTAAGATGTGACTCCACCCACTCAGTGTGGCCACGCCCATTTAGTGTATGGCCACACCCACTTATTTTATGGCCACGCCCACCTCGGTTGCGACCCCACCCACTTAAAATTTGGCCCCACCCACTTCAGATACAGCCACACCCCTTTGAATTGTGACAAGGTGTGGCCACACCCACTCCATGTCTGACCACACCCACTTCAGATGTGACCCCACCCACTTATTGCAAGGCCACGCCCACCCCACGTGAGACCACACCCCCTCTGTCCAAACTCACTCATCTGATTGGCTGCCGCTGTCACCTGACTCAGGGGGCGTGGCCGGCGCTGCGGGGGGCGGAGTCCTGGGCGTGTCCACTTGAGGAGGCCCCGCCCCTTTCTTCACCTTGGGGGAGGGGCGTGGAGGGGGTGGGGCATCCTCAGGCTCCTCCCCCTCGCTGCCAGAGGAGGCGGAGCCATCCAAGAGGTACCTGGGGGAGGGGCAAGCGTGGGGCCACGCCCACATGGAGGTGTGGCCATTACATCTGTGGGTGTGGCTGAGTGGGCGTGGCCTATCCAGGTCAGCCCAAAACGCCCCAAAATCCTCATTTTTTGCCCGAATTTCACCCAAATTTTTTGCCCCAGGTACCCCCAGGTTCCCCCCAGGTGTGCCCAGGTACCCCCCAGGTGCCCCCCAGGTACCCCCCAGGTGTACTCACGGCCCGCAGCTCAACCTCCTGCCCTGCCTCTGGCACTCCCAAATCCACCTGGCCCCCACCACGACCCCTCCCCTCTGCCGCGCCCGCGCCGCCTTCGGCGTCCTGGCGAACGCGCACCTGCCAAAAAAACCCCCCCAAACTCCAAAAAATGGGCGTGGCCACCCCGGAGAGGGGGGGCGTGGCCTCTGGGGGCACGGGGGGGAGGGGTCACCTACACCAGGTGGGTGCACTCAGGTGTCCAGTCGGGCCGGTACTCCGCCCCCAGCGCCGCGGCCGCCGCCCGCAGCTGAGCCCGCAGAGGGTTCTGGAAGCCGCTCAGCGCCAGCACCACCCCCCCCAAAACGGGACCCCCGCCCGCGTTGGGTTGGGGGGGGGGCG